TTTGTAAATCTTGTCTTTCCAAATTTGTATTTTGCACAATGTGGTTATTGTGTGAAAAGTTCTCGAAAAAGTGTTTTCTGAAATGTTGTATTGTGTCATCTAATTGAGGGTTTTTGAAATTTTGTTTAACACAATGTGTTTTTTTGAAAGGTTTTGTGAAATGTTTTTTTCATGTGTTTTGTGAAATTTGTTTTTTTTTTGTGATATGCCTCATTCAAAATGTGATTTGTAAAATAATTTATTTTGTGAAAGGTTTTCCTTCAGATTGTATTTTGTGTTTTCATTCTGTTTTGACCCTCAGGGCCACCATACAAAACACAACACGTGCTTTAACGTATTCAGGCTTCGCTGTTGCTCCTCCAGACTTAAAGTAAAGTTAAACTTGTCTGGTCCAGTCTGAGGGTGGACGGTTTCAGAAGGTCGTGATCTCGCTGGCTTCAGCTGAAGAACATTTAAATCTCATAGTTATAAATCCCACTTTAACTTGAAGTATGGATGATGTCCACAGTTTCATTCTGAAGGGAATTGAATCAACATTCCCTCAACATGACAACACATGTGAACAACATGTATGTTCACCTCGGTGGAAGCATCTAAACATGCTGTTTTGACCTATTTGAAAAATGAGCGCCGTCTTTACGTTGCCTTCCCACGATGACCCTGGGTTAGCAGGAAGTGCAGCGGCGATGCTCTTCACACTAAAATAACTTCCTCAGGCTACAACTGAACGGGCAGCATTATTATTCACGGTGGCTATTATAAAATGTTTCCCTCGGCCTCCTTGACATCTTGAACCTTCCTTTCATTAAAACAGAACGGAGGCGGGGGGGGGGTCAAGGCAACATCCAAACAATGAAGGGGTGAAGTGTGCAAGGGTCCACAAATAGCGGAGAGTGGACCAAAGAGAAATGATGGGAAAGTGAACTTGTAGCAGCTACAACAAGTGTTTTGCTGATCTAAACGACAATCTGGCTTAATAATTAAAAAGGCGTCAGCTCAGTTCAAAGTTTGCTCACTGGCTGAAAGGGGAAAATGTTGGATGAAGAATCAGATTAAAACAAGTGTCTTCAAGTATAAATCTTGAGAATAAATAGACATAAAACACAAGCAAAACTGATTATAAAGCAGAAAACATGATAAGATAATATAAAGACGTGGACGTTTCAAATATACATCAAGTTCAACAAACCAGCATCATTTCTTCTCATGCGAGCAGCACAAATGTTCTGTGGAGTCATTGTCAGTTTGCCTGTTTGTCGTTATCAGACTGAAATATGTAAATGACCATTGAAGAGATTGTCGTTTAGTTCGGCACAAACGCTCAGGACCAGAGGACGAACTCCACAGTTTATGATCATTACCTCTACAGCCCCACGAGCAAGTCCCCATTCCGCTAGCTTCAGCCAAATGTTTCGTAACTTCAGAGGTTTGGCAGAAGACAAGAACTTCTAAATGTGTGTGTGTGTGTGTGTGTGTGTGTGTGTGTGTCTGTGTGATATTCCTAGAATGGTGGTGGGGGGTTGCACTTTAATGGAGGGTCCCCCAAAAACACTCCTGACAACTACTGGATGACGTGCCCTAAAACTTGGAACAGTTCAGGTGCGCTTCAGGATGAACTAGAACCACTTTGATGATACTGTGACTTTTTCCTGCTCCGATATAAATCATGATGTTTTATACCTGTCAGGAAAAAAAAAATGTTTGTTGTCCGTTACAAAAGAGACGAAGGGGCACGAGGAGCACGAGGAGCACAGCGCCTGGAGTTGAGGAACTGCAGCCCTCATCATTCTGCTGTGATGCTTATCAAAATATCACTTAGGCAGAAGTTTTGCTTCAGTGCCTCAGTCACAGTCACCGTCCGGTCAAAGACGCAGCGTCATTCCTGCTTTATTTAACACAGCCAATCATTTTTTACAAAGCTCTTTAGGTCAGTCTGCTCCTGATTCAATATTTTTGCGCCCTCGTCTTTCATGCTGCATATTCGTTTTTTTTTTTACAGAGATCAATGAATCTGTGAATGTCAGTGGGTTATTAACCTCCGAGACCATCGAGAGCTCTCTCCTGCTGCTTCCTCTGCAGAGGTGCACGATTTCAGACGCTCGACTCCACCGTGCAACTCCTCGTCTCTTGAACCCAGACAAGTCTCTGGTAACAACAAAAGGATGGAGTCTACGGCTGATTTTATTACAGCAGAGGGGAGCAGCATTAATTAGGGAGATGTGACCTGAATGATTCTCAGAACTCTCCTCCATTTCCTCTGGACGCCAGTAACACAATTGCATTTTGGGAAGCTGCCAAACGCTGTGGGCATAATTGAAAAATGTAGGGCCTGTTTGATTCCCTGGTCAATGTACAACTGTTGTCTGTACACAGCCGAGAGCTGAGAAGTCTCTACGTCAAACAAATGCAATAAGATGAAAAGCTATCGATTCCTAATGTCGGGGAAACGGTTTGTTGCAACAGCTGCAGTAATGTGATACAGCAGCGAAGGAAATCATATAGAAGCTGCTTCAAAAAACATTAAACCAAACATAAAAACTGATTATGAACAATTGATATTTTTCAGCTATAACATTGGACTTTATAGATTTAAATTATATCTTATAGATTAAAATTAATCAAGGTTAATGGAGTCATTACCTAGAACAGCAAATGCTGGGTGGCTGTTTTCAGACATGCACTAACGGAGGCTCTGTATGTGAGAACACAAATTGTTTGCTAAGACACGCACTGAAGTTTGCATCTTTTCTTTGGGAGCAGATTTTTGGTAAAAACCAGAGATGGTGGATGTGATATATACGCATTTAATAATTAAGTTTGTCCCTCAGAGGATGTTCTAAAAATAAAATGGCCTTTATAGAAAAGATTCTCCTGCCCTTCCTTAATGTTTTATCCCCCTGGGTATGAATTGGAACAATTCTGTTGATCCTTTAACTTCCTCTGCCATCATCAGCTCATGTGTGATATTTAGTTTATGCACAAATATCTTCTGACCTACTGACACTCCTTCAACCTGAGCTAGCAAATGTTAGCATGCTAACATCCTTTACCAGGACGCAAACATGGTACTCATCAACAACTGAACATCTTTTAGAAACATTTATTTAACATATACTTTGACTTTTTTGTTCGGTCCATGTCCCATCCCCTAACAGAGGATGTGATATTTATGACGTATACTGCGAACCGTCACCAGGGGGCGATCAAGATGATTTAGCTTCACTTTTGGGAGCCGTAATGTCGTCCATCTTTATATATAATCTTTAGTTTCCTTGCACAGTTATATCCAAGCAAAACTGATATTTTACCGTGAAATATCATTAAGTGAACAAATATAGAATCAAATCAAACTCTGCGAATCGAATTTAAGTCGATTTGGGAAATCAGTGTCGATAACCTGCCCTAGTTTAGAAATGACCAATGTACAGTATATTCTTTCTGTATTAGGATCATCATTAGCACCAGCACAAGCACGAGCTATTCTTCCTGGGGTCCAGTATGTGGAACAGTCAAGAAAAGGTTTAGTTGGTGTTTTATCCAGGTGCTAAAAGGCGCAGTGGAAATTTTGGATGCACCTAAATGAAAAAAAAAAAAGAGGAACACCAGTGAATTCAAAATAAAAAGTTGGAGCACTGTTGTGATGTGTTAATAATAAACAATCATTTAAAAACTACTGCAGTCGATGGCCACAAGACTACATGTACATCCAGTTCTTCACGTACACAGTCATTCCACTGTGACTAAATTACTTCAGACAGAAGGACGACGCCAAAACAAACAGATTAACTCACAGGGAGGAAACGCTGCTGACAGCGAGACGTAGCTGCAGGTGATGAACAACGAAGAAACAGAAACGCTGCTTTTGAAGCAGCAGACCAGTGGGCAGGGCTGAATCCTGAAGATGGAGAGTAGCCAGATGAAATCCCCCGACTGCCAGAGAAGGGTCTGGGATGAAGAAGTGAATGACTCATGCTTTTTTCTGTGTGTTTGTAAAGCAGACAATACAAATAAAGCTTAGGATGAATTGGACCCACTGTGAAATTTGATTGGGATGAATGGACCTTGATGTTCTTTCTCTCTGTCTCCGATCTCTTTTAATTTACTGGTGTTGTGGAGGATATGGTTCTCATCATTAATCAGCAAGACAAATGAATCCCCTGCTGCCTCGGCAAGCAACACACACACAGAGAGAGAGAGAGAGAGAGGGAGGAAGAGAGGTGGAAGAAGAGAGGAAGGGACGAGGTATATAAATCAAGTCCGCTTTGATTAAATCACCTTTGTCTAGAGGACACGGCTAATAAGATCCATTAGGTTGATATTGGGGATTCTCTTATATTGTGCTAAAATATCAATAAAAAAAGACGCTAAATCATTCAAAATAGTTAATTACGCCCAGGCGATGAAACTCTTTACATTAAAGTGACACTAATTAGTAATGTTCAATTCAAATTACAATCATTTAGAGAGGGAGGGTGATTATCTCCGGGGGATTCTGCTTTTTGAGTGGACTTGATGAAAGCTGTCAGTAAACAAGGGGAAGTATCGAACACATGACGATCAATGTGTTTGTCTGAGGGTGTTTTATTTTCTTAAGCCGGTAATTGTGCATTTTAATTGGGGAAACTGAACATGTTGGTCAGTCACACCCGTCAATGTCATTTCAAAGTTTTCGTGGCTGTGATCCTTTATAAATACTGTATTTTTCTTTGCTGTCGATATCGTGCACTTCCTAATCTGTCCACAGAAAGGCGCTCCGGCACCTGTTTCCCTGCCAGCACTGTTGTTTATGAGTCACAGAAGCAGAGGAGGTTTTTTCAGTGGAGGTCTAAAAGGCAGAATCACTTCTGCAACACATATAAACAGCATTTGCATTTCTCATAGATGAAACTGCAGAACAAAACAAGTCCATCTGCAAACGCCTTTAAAATACAGTCGATGCAGACTCATGGTTTGTACTTGAACACAACATAAAACGCAAACAACACATTCTCCACGTGACACAATTTAATTAATTCAATACGAGATCACATCACCGCTCACAAAATGTGCTTCACTGACACCAACACGTGCACACACTGCCCCAGTGCAACAGAACACCACGTCCACGCTTCGCCTCTGTGCACCAGTTGCACGGTTTTGGTCGGAGGTCATGGGAAAGCTGTCACCCTCAGTATCCCCCTCATCTGACAGGAGATCTCTCCTGATCCCACAAATCTTTCGTTCTAAATGGCATCAACCGTGAAGAAGAGAAAACCAACTGCTTAACTGGAAAGACGGAACAAAACCGTGAGCCAACCATTGGCTCAACCTGTTAACAGGCCACTCAGACCTGGAGAAACTCATTTCATTGACTTTGGGATTTATTTGTTTTTTGTTATCTCATGTCTTATTGTCTACGTTCTTTGTGTGTTGTTGATCGATATATGAATTTAAAACATTAAAGTTAGGTTTGTGGTAACAGAGACGGTCAACATCCCAACTACTAACCAATCACATCATTAGAAAACTAGAGCCCTTGATCTACAGGATACCGACAGCGACATAAATCTATTTTCTTAGAGTGGAATCCTTTCGTGATTCCAGACTTTTGTCAACCCAGGTTTTAAAGCTTATGACGGAGTTCATCACACTAAATAAAAACACCAAGGCATTGTCACTATCACAAATCCTCAGAGGGTCGCGGGAGATGGACGACTCCGCCTCTGTCACACGAACGCCCTCACAGCCGGATAAGACGTCAGAGTCAACTGAGACGAGTGATAACCAGCTTCCAAGTGAAGATTCTCCAGGCTCTAAAAAAAAAAAAACACATCCCAAGTACGTTGGAGTTCGTAGTACAGGCCCCCGATGTGTAAGTGAAACACAACAACATTGTAAAAACTGTGAAAAAACAAGAGCTGCCGTTTATGACATTCATTATTTAAAATCTCTCATGGGAAGATAAACAGCTCCACGGTTGCATTTAATTAAAACCAAATTCTGTATATTTTTACCCTTATTGCATATTATTACTTGCATAATTTTTTTATTTTGTTGTTTGTCATGGTGCCACTATTCCTGGAGGGCAACAAAACAAAGCAAAAAAATAAAAAAAAATGAACTAAACAGTGGGTTGAAGTGAAGAAAATGAGCTTTGTTCTGCAGCAAAGAGAAAATCTCATAAATTAGAGAGTAGTGTTACTGCACATAAACAGAAACACTCGAATGTGGACGTGGATTATGTGCATCCTCCTCCGTGTGTGTCAACTGAAGGAGCTGGAGCTGTGCACCATGTTGTGATGGCGTCTGATGCCCATGTTGATTTTTGTTTTTAAGAATACAACAGGTCTCATCGTAAACACGACCTTGAGCTTCCTGCAGCAGCTCACAACATGATTGGCTGGTTTGCTCAAAGGCATTTAGACAAACTTCCTGTGAGAAGGCACACGATTCTTTAGAGGACGACATAATTCATCACAAGATGTATTAAATCCACAGGACCGGATTAAACACGGTGACGTCTTAAATACTCAAACACAGAAAAGACAGTGACTTAACTACAGTCTTATGTCTCCAGCACGGATCTGAACCATGAGCCTTTAGCTCTATTGACAATTTCAGTTAGCAACAGCGCCCCCTGTAGCCACATCCATCCATCAATCATCTGCTCCACTTATACTTTGAGGGTTGAGGGGTCAGTCCAAGCAAATATAAGGGCGACATATACCTAACTCTAATGTGCACGTCTTTGGACTGTGGGAGGAACCTTAACAAAACTAAAGCTAACACACTGAGAGGCCTCGGCCGGAAAACCGGGATCCAAACCAGGAACCTTGTTGCGTTGAGGCATCGGCGGCGCCTCCTCAATCCAGACATGGAGATAAATTCAGTTGGGCTCCACCTCAGAGCGCTTAAGTGTCATTCATATAGAGAAGCTACACCGAGCTCTAACTCAACTGAGCTGAAGCACAACTGAACCGTGGATATTACCCATGATCCCTGGCTTCCTGAACCAGAAGCGCTGCAACAAATCCACCAAACTTCTTCATATCTCATAAAGTTTCCTGTTGAATATTAGAAATAATCTCTGTTTTTCTAAGAACAAGAACAAGAACAGCAAGAACAGACGTTCAGGGGGGAGGAGTGAGAACGAAAGAGGAAACATTCTCCATAATCACAGTCACTGATCTCATTTTCAAGCTGTTTTTAAAAAAATAAAAAGTTGTGCAGTGTTATTTTAAAGCACAGTCGGACACAACACACAATTTCATTGAGTTGCAAGATGCAGTGTAAGAATATCCCTGTCACCGCCCCCCCCCACACACACTTCTCTATAGAAGAAGAGAAGACATTGAGCGAAACTTGCAATATTACGTAACACCACACATCAGCAGCAGCTATGACCTGAAAATGACACATTTGACACAGTGTCAACAGGTTTTTGAATTTTTTAGTTTTGCAGAGACAGCATTCGCCGCCGGGCTGCTGGACCCTGTATACTATTCATTCTCTTTAGAAACCTGCGCCTGCTTTGTTAAAGAAAAGCAGTCAGATGATCAGAATTGTTTAAACAAACCCCAGCTCGCCCCCCTGCAGGGGTCGATGGCCCAAAGATCTGAATCCAAACTCGTCAGATCTTCATCCTACCAGACACAAACAGCAATTATCTGTCACCTCAGGAATCAGGAGACGCTGCCCACGTCCTTCATTAGTGTCTTTAAACCAAGTGCTGCCGTCACTCAAGCAATCAGCACATATACAATCTTACCTAATCAAGACAAACAGCTCACACAGACGTCTCCTGGAGATGACGAACGTGCGGTGAACGCAGCAGACGACCGGGGGAGGAGGACAGAGCAGACAGTGAGGAAGTGACATCACACAGGAGCGAATCTGGAGATCAGGAAAGTTTGTATTTATTTATATTGATGATACCCTGGTGATGCTTAATGCACAAGACTTCTGCACCACGAGAGAATACTGCGAAGATACTTCATGGGAAGTAATGTATATCCACCGGATGATAAAAGCTTTTTCAATAAAAAAGGAGGAATAACTACAAAGAGTCAGTCGCTCCTTCAGAAAAAAAACCCACAAGAAACTAAAACTGAAGAACGGGGCCCGTTCAGAAGGTCAGTTAAAGTATCATCTAATAAGACGGAGGGAAAACTGTGGTTGGCTCCAGTAATAGTGTCTTTGTTTAGAAGAATCACATTAATATACAAAAGAAAACTTTACAACAACAAATGAAAAACCTTAATATTAAAACATAATTACCTGGAAAACCGTCCTTTCCTCCGGTTGGAGACATGAATCTGACTGGAATCTATAAAGATTCATCATTTTAAAGGGAATAAAAGTCTGTACGAAACCATCACTCCCAGTTTTAGTCCGTCACAAAACAGAGAATCAAAGAAAGTGCATTTAAATAAATGTTTAACAAAACTTCTCCAGCTACTCCAGAGTTCAAATATTAAAGTCATACTAAAGAAAAAAAGGATCCAAACAAATCAAACGAATAAAGCTGAGCTCATGTGCTTCCTCTCTCTCAGGTGGGACTCCCCACGCCCCACCCCTTTTTATAGACCCCGCCCCTTACCTGCACTTCCTGTTTCCTTCCACACCTCGACTGCTGCATCTACTTTCATATTTTGTGTTTTTTTTTTATTCATGGAAGGAATATATCCAACAACCTTCATCCATTTCCCTTATTAATAATGTCAGGAGAGACATTTATAATCCGACATATACCATTTATATAGAATCGTAAGAAAACAGGTATAATTCGCCATGCAGAGGTTTTGTGCTACATTACGATCATATGAAATAAAGAAAAACGTAAAAAAAGTCCAATTGATCCACTGGGCACAAATTGCTGTCGAAAAAACAAGACAATCATAACACTCGCTGAATGGCAGAGAGCAATTTAATGCTGGAGTCAAACTGACAAATGTCTCAGTGCCGTTTTAAGTGGCTGTGATTTCAAATAACAATGACAACGGCTCAGAGGACGGAGCCGCGGCTGAATGGAAGCTGATGTCTGAACAAAAAAGTGACAGAAAGGTGTCGCACAGTGATGTTTAAAGAAATGGTTTTATTCAGTCGCACAGACAAAAGTGCGTGAATGTGAAATAAGAACAACGCGTCAATTCTTCATGAGTTAATTAGTCTAAAAGTCGTAGTGATGCTCTGCATGACGGAGGACGTGGTTGTTTACAGGTGACCTGATCTCCAAAAGGTCACCCTCGAGGGACGTCATCACCACGAGACTTCAGGGGTCCGCTCCTTCCTCCCTCACAATCAATAGACTCACTGTGCGTTCACCTGTTGACGTCTCCATGGTCTCGAGATACGACCGAGTTTTCACGTTGAGGTTCAGCATCTTGGGGAAGAGAGGGATCGATTTGTGATCTATTTGTGAAACCTGTACTTCTTTTTAACGCAGGTGACAAGTTCATCTCCCTTAAAATGACACGCAGCCTAAAATAACTTCACTTCGTCGCGAATGTATTTCTCATAAAATCCCGACTGAATCCATATAAAATTAGATAAACTCGTATAATTCCAACTTCATTCTCATAAAATTATAATTTCTCCTCAGAGAATTACACTTTCGTTTGATAAAATTGCGACTTTATTCTTGTTAAACTTTATGTTTGCACATGAGTTTATTCTTTAAACATCTTCTCCTCCCTTGAAGCGACGCCGATACTCCGTCAAACTCCAAATGTGCAACACCTGAGGAATATAACGAGGACACTTTTCACCAGCGCTCATCGGCTCGTCGATCGAAACACTGGAGCCAAACAATAACGTGCTCCCTGTGAGTATGTGATGGTTAAATAATGTACTATTCATTTCGGCATATTGCAGCTTTAACCTTCTGAGCTCACAAGGTTAATGCATGAAGGCAGGACTGCATCACTGACCTTTTCATTACGACAGATAAAACACCAGCGCCAAGGACACACGCTCCGCCTTCATTGAGTGCAGCCATTTTCTGCTACTGAGTCGGTTAAAGTGTAATGAATATGATTTCTCTGTGTTTAGGTTATTTGAGGATATTGACTAATGGGTCTATAAGAGACCAACTGGCACGTACATTATACATGAACTGAGAAGTGTATTTTCTATGACTGATAGCTCGCCTCAGGTCTTCACTCTCTAATCAATAGCAGTATCACCTTTACTTATTTAAGATGTTGGCTCATTATGTGCAGCACTTGAGGTATAATGAGAGCCTGAGGCGAAAATGTAATTAAAAAGATAATATCTTCCTCTATTCAACTCGGCCGCTGAATTCTGAATATTGTGTTGAAGTAAAGCTTCAGTCAGCAGTGTTAAATATGAAACAGAGAAATACATCTTTCCGTGACAGGTGGCTCACGTCGATTCCACCTCTCTCTCTATACTGGAATCAATAAGCCCCATCTCCATTTATTTAAGATGTTAGTTTAAAAGATTCACCGCGCTCATCAAGCCACAGAAGACCAGATTGATTTTCAGCTCAAATCTTGTGGGATTTATGTAAAAATTCACCGTGCTTCCAATGGTACGACTCCTCATTTGTGTTAATTAAGAGCGCTTGTTTCAGAGTCCACACCGATTCCTCTCTGTGATTAAAGGTTTCAGGACACTGGTTCAATTCGGGAGATCCACATGTGGAAACATACATCAAAGTGAAATAATTTCATTTTATTCATATGTTCCCTGTTTCAGGGGAGATGAACCGTATGCAGGGTTTATCTATGCCACACTGCGGATATCTGGATATACCTCTGTCCAGACGAGAGCACAGAAACAACCGCACGGTCATAAAGTTTATATATCAACAACCCATCAAATACCAGAGAAGAAGAACATGTGCTGCCTTGATGTTAAATTCATCCGCAAACTTGAAATTAGACCTTCGAGTGCAAACCAAACGGGATACAGCCGCCATTGTTGTTTTCTTTTTTTGAAAATCGTTACTTTGAAAGGTGCTTGTCAAAATAAAAATATGAAAATCTTTTTGCACATGGACGAGAGGCCTGCATTAGTGTGCAGGGCGTTCGTCTCCTCGTCTGAATCAAACTAACTCACTGACAAAAAACTTAATTGAAGCAGAACCTGGAAAAACAAAAGTGTATTTTGTGAGATATTTCAAAATAAGAGCACCCTCAGTTGCCCTCAAAAGGGCTGTAATGTTTATTACACAACAGCCATTTCTGTATTCCTGCAGCCACTCAGCTCGAGTCTGCTCTGATAAGTATTCCTTTCACGGCGACATGTATTCATCGCACTCTTTGCATTACGGTGTTGTTACTTACGCTGTCAGTCACTCTGCTCTTTCTCTGCCGCGGCGGCTGCAACAGTGCTCACCTGAAAGCTTCACTGAAACACATAATCACTCGCTGATGCTGCTGCTGCAGCACATGAAGCATTTCATAAACACAACCTCAGTCTATGTTCCTCGGGGGTGGGAGGGGCTGTATGGATCTTTCCATATGGAGAAATGATGTCAAAGCCAAATTTGCAACTCACATATAAGTGTTACACGAGCTGGTTGAACCGAGTTAGTCGACAAAAACATAAAAACAACCGTGTCTCTGACAAAAACTCTGTGTCTGTAAAACTGCAACAGCAAATATGTTTTGTAAGATTATGGCTGGATTATGTTCAAAGGGAACGTTCTGAATGAAGTGTGACATTTATTTTTCGGCGGCAGAGATGCCAGGAGGTTCGTCTGTCACACCAGAGACCAGGATTTACATCTGTGTGGTGAGATTCAGGCAGTAAAAGCATTTTGCACCTTAACCGACTGTTGAGAGCGTAAACATTACAGTGTAATAACGCTGCAGTCGTAAAAAGTGGTTATTGTACTGAGAGATTGGACATTTTTGGTGGGAAACAAACACAATACTGGTGGATTTCTTTTTACTGATGAGCTTGGTTTATTTCTTTATTTGCCAAACATGAAATATTAACGTATTCTTATGTTTACGAGAATGACATCAAGTAGCGTGCATTCCTCCGCAATGACTGTAAAGTTACTAGCAAATTAAATTAAAATAAGAAGCAGTCGTGGTGATAATTTAAATTATTTATAAGTGAAAAATAAAAATCCTCACGAGTTCTTCTGAGGTTTCAATCCACCATTTTTGCTGGAAGTCAGTTTAGTAGTTTTTGCATAATCTTACCAACAAATAAAAACAACATAGCAACAAGGACCTCAGACTCCTTGTGAAACCTCCTGAAGTCACTATATCACTAACTTGGCTGATTTATTTCAGATAGATTCATAACATTTTCTTTTTTAAATCAAGAGGTTTCTTTCCTGACCCTCTGCATCCTTCCACCAAGTTTTGTAATAATCCTTCGAGGAGTTTTGCGTGATCCTGCTCACAAACACGTAACGTGACCTCCTTGACTGAGGTGATAACAAATGTAACGTGACTGCATTTATGTTTTTTTACAAAACTGTAATCTGCTGCAGTCCCTCAGAGATCTTAATATTTCTTACATTACACTAAGGTTCACTCAGGTTCCTTAAAATACCTTTTATATGAAAAGGAATTCATAAAACGGTTTTCTCCTGCAGAGCAAAATGGACAATAATTTAGTCAAAACAACTTGGTTGGTGTCTTTCCTCCAGTATAGTTGTTTAACTGCCATTTATGTCCTTAAACACAAAATAAGCAGAGCTATGAAAGTGTTTGTAAATGGATGGTGTTTATATCGAGATCCCTGGCGACGTGCCGCTGTGTTTCCATATTCGTCTTCCTAATTTACCTGTTGCACCTCAACGTGTTCAGTCAAAAACAAAAACAACACTGATTATTTTGGACATTAATATCTTTTCTTTTTTATTGACAAGAACTCTTCATTGTTTTGTAAAAATGTCTATTTATGAACCAATACAAAATATGTATGGGAATGTGGAACTCCTTTTCTCCATTAATGCACATTAACATTTCCCAAGAACAGCAGAGAGACAAAAAAGAATAAATCTAAAAACAAGAACTGGTGAAACAATCAATTCTTTTTTTTGTTGTTGTGGGGAATGAAACGAGTTTCTAAAGGCGGTGGTGTGCTGATAAGTGACAGAAGTACAGCCACAACAAGTTTCTGATCCTGCTTCATTCCAATAAACAGTGTACTCATCATGATCTATGTAAACACAAAGTACTTAACACATCTTTACAGTGCACCAAATATTAAGAAAAACACAGAAAACATGTACAACATAGATGCAAAATATCTCACCAGTTCTGCCTCTTGGATCTAAAGTGTGTTGATTGGATGAGGGTGTTTTGTAGTTGCTGTCATATCATTGATAGGTGGGGCCTAAACTTTGCATTCTACCTGAGATGCAGTCACATCGGTCAGCAACGCATGAACCTGAGACAGGACATTATCAAAAGAATTTAATGTGAAGAAAATTACAACAGTTACACTGTAAGACCAAAATCCATTTTTCTTTTTCTTTACCGGGTGTTAAATATAAGAAAATAAAATCAACACGTACAATGACATTAAATATCGTTCTTACTTCAAATTGAA